GAACTATTCAGACCTCGGCAGGGTGGGCCAGGCCGGAGTTTTTGAGTGCTGGGAGGCTGCTGGCCCAGGTGAGTGCTGCGTTTGGCCCTTTCAAACGAAGGCAATACGGTGGATGGTTGCGGGATCTTAGGCACCACCGTTCAGAAACCCCGGTTTCTAATGATTCTCCTAGCAATGCCGTAGCCCAACAATGGTTTCAACGGTAGTTTCCATGTGGTGTAGGGTTTCGTCCATCCACAGTATGTGGTTTGTAGCACTCTGTTCAACCTGTTTCTTGTTCCCTCCCAGGTTGGAGAGATGCAGATACCAACTAATTGTTTGCCCAGGGTTGCCAGCCACTTATATCTAAGTACGCTTCCGACCTGGGGTGAACCACTTGAAACGCATGTACTTCGTCCGCACCACCACCAACTTTCTCCGAAGCTGGCAAGAAAAAACACCGATTTTCACGTTGTGGCAAAAGGACATAGGCCGGCAATGGCACGTGCACAAAGCGGTCCAGCGGGGAAGCTGAAAGGCAAGACAAGCGCCTGCGGAACATGGCACTTTTCAAAGTTGAAACCAGTGCCCCTTGTGCGGATCCATTTCTTATCCTGACGGTGCGCTGCACCAAACAAAAATGCCATTGAGTAGAAGTTTCTGCACGTTCGAGGGAAGCATCGTAGCATCAGTTTCTCTTTTTTCATTGCTACTGTGGCTGCTCTGCTCACAACATCGGTGGGTCGACGGTGGTTGATTAGTTTGGCATCAGTTTGGAAGGCATGCGCTTTATGGAGCCCACTGCCATCCACTTCCAGAGGAGCAGTTACATGAACATCTGGAAGTTGACACCCATCCAATCCCTTGCCCACCCCAAGCCACAGCCCTCCAGCACTTTTGTCCGACATGTTTATCCAGCACTTCTCTTCAACACTTTTCTCCAACACTTTTATTTCCACACGTTTATATTCACCTCTTTTTTCTGTGGCTTCAAAACGCCCTTGGCGTTCTTTTTGTCCAAAACAACGGCACCGGATGCAAACGTCTCCTCCGTTTGCGCGTCTCCGTTTTCCCGTCGCAGGCGCCCCCCAACATCTACCTCCAGTGGATGTTGGCGCAGACCTGCGGCGTCCACGTGGCCGACTTCGCCTCGGAGTTCGCCCCGCTGCCGGAGATCATCTCCCACGGAGCGATGGGAAGTTGAACCGGAGGGAAGCTCGAGCTTTTAAGGTCCACTTACTGGTCCAAGGCGCGTCGGCCCTTAAAGGGATGCAAAAAGGATCTTTGAGGAACACGCCATTGGCCTTGAAGGTTCTCGAACTGACTGTACTGCTTGACTCCTGTGCTCCACTTTCTTGTCGGCCCGCTTGCTGGTTCAAGGCGCATCGGCCTTTAAAAGGATCCTTTGAGTCTTTTGGGTTTCCCCGCTTGGCATGTTTTGGGCCGGGAATGATGCTAGTTGAAAAGAAGCGGAAGAGTGACCAGTTTTTTTGATGGTTCGTGGGCATGCATGGTTTGCCTGTCGACTGTTTTCTTTCAAGGCTCGGGTTTGCGTGAAGCAGAGACACGGCTTTCTAGGGAAGGCCCTCCGACTCCAGACTCCATGCCTCGATCCCTCCAGAGCCCCCATTCGATGCCAGCCAGCAGCTATCTTCAGAGTGAATCCGCTACGCGTTGAGGTGTGGATGTGGACAGCCTGCGTAGGTCTGCAGGCACGGCACTCTGGCAAGATCCCTGGCCGGTGCTGACGCCCTCTTATTTTGGGCAACCCGTTTTGGGCACCCAAGGTTCACTTTCGGCAACTCCCAGGGCGCGACCTTTCGGCCAGGACTGCGGAGCGTCTTCATGATCTGGTGCGTCTACGTGATCGGCAACTTCCTCGCAGTGGGGGTGCCAGCCCCAGCGAAAACGGCCGGCAAAAATCCACGCGGGCCGGGCGGCTGTATCTCTTGCTACATGCCATCGAGCCTAACGCATCCAGTTCTGTGGGTTGCTAGGTTTCTGGGGTTTAGTGGTAACTTGGTTTCCACTAAGCCACTAAAAGCTATTCTTTTTGCAGGGGATCTGGTTTCTAGCCCCTCCTTGAGGGGGTATGCTTGATGGGCTCAAAAGGCCAAGATATCCGGCCGGATCCAGCCGAATGAAACCACGTCTTGGCAGTTGGTCGGCTTGCAATATTTGCCGCAGTCGCTGACCCCAAGGTGCCAAGCAAGGCATGTTGGGCGTTTGAGTTTGCCCCTGGAATATGTTTTGCGGATTCTGAGAGTTAAACCTTAATTGCCGTCCCTAAAAGGCAGGGCAAAGCCCTGTTACCCATTGTGTGGCTTGCAAAGGCTGGTTTGTGAACGGCATTTTGGTTTTTCCTCCATCAAGGGTTGGGTTTCTACAATTCATGAGTGGGATGCTCTGTGATTTCCGGTTTGGCCTGGGCCATAACTGGGCATTTTCGATGAAGTGAGCCGGGCAGGGGCGACAACTGCATGCAAAATTTAAGTCCGGAGCCTTGGGTTGCGCTCCTTTGATGCTTCTCGGCACCCTTGCTCAAATGGAGGAGGGCGTTGAAGCAACAACCTGATGCCCATGTTTTTCCAGTGGGTTGTGAACAGCATTGCAGATCGGCCCTTGCGGCCTGCCGGCTGAGGCCATGAGCGTCTTCCAAATTGCCCCCAGGGGCAAGCGCTGCTGCGGCCTCTTCCGTCAGCAGAGCTACGACTACAAGCGTGTCGTGGGCCACCTGCCTTGCGGAATCGCTCGAGCTGCGACTGCCGACCCCCTTTTTCTAGTTTCCGTTCCCCGTCTTGCTACAAGTGCCCTGCAAGATGTGGGCAGGCAGCGTAGCTAAATGCAATGACAGCGTCAACATGTGTTCGTTCGTTTGGGGCAGCAGTTGCAGCATTCTGTCTAGCTTTGGCTCAATTAGAAGCATGGTGTGACGTGGATGTACAGGCGACATGCGCCCCGTCTGCCATGATTGCTCCTCCGAGCGATGACGCCGTCATTGATACATTTCTCAACTCGCCTGGCCGCGATGACGCCGCGCTGGACCAGTTCTTAGCATCTCCTTCTTCTCCGCCACCACCTGCCCGCGCTGCTTCATTCCCCTCGCCGCCTGCCCGTGCGGATGATCTCGCCTTGGAGGCCATTTGTGGTCGCCGGTGTCTTCAACGGAATCGTTCACATGGTTGAGTTTAAGACTTGTTTGTTAGCCTGGCAGCCTTTTCTATACCCTCCTTAAAGCTGCCCTCGTCAACCAGCGCACAGGCACTCACGGGCACGCACAGGCACGCACAGGCACGCACCCGCCGGTCGCACATCCCTGAGGCCTTCTTAGCGAGCCCAGCGCCGACTGCGCCTCGGCTCTCGGCCTCGCCAGCCTTTCACTCGCCGCCCTTGGCGCCGCCGGCGCCGGGCGCGCCGGGCGCGGTGCCACTTCCGCCCACGGTGCCGGCGGTGCCGGCGCTGCCACCCACGCTGCCGCTGCCGCCGCGAGAGGAGAGCCGATGGAGAGGTTGGAGGCTTGATGAGGTTGGGGCACAGCATGAGGTCGGAGAAGGTCGTTCTAGGATTGTAAATATCGGAAAGTGAGTCCAGCATTCAGACATTCACCTTCCTGGCCAAGCTGTGTCGTCTCAGCGGAGGAGATGCTGAGGCAAAGGGATGACGCAGCCATGGCATTTGCCATGCAGCCGCCACCACCCCAACCGCGCCCGCCTGACACGGGCTGGTACCTCGGATCGCATCAGTTTGTAGCGGCCAGTTCTTGGACCGGTAAGCCAGTTTGAAGAGCATGGGATGGTGTTTGGGCTGGGTAACTTCATGTTGTGAACAAACTTCAATCCATTGTCAAGCCCCAGTTTACCAAATTTGCGTAAAGGGGTTATAGGGGAATCGAGGGGGCTTTAATGATGCCAATATCATTCTGCCGACAGAATTGAATTATGTAAATGGAAGAAGCCCTTCAATTCCTCAATACTGTGGATGGCCGTGAAGTCCATTTCGCACCACTTGGAAACCACGGTTGAAGCCACAACGTTTTGACGGTATTTACGTCGGGGAACCGACTCAGAAACTAGAGTTTCTTTGGTGCCTAAGGGCGGATGTCGCAAGAATCCGCAGCAAGGCCTATCTAGTGAACAAAAATACATGGGTGTGGGGCAAAATTAAACCACCAGGATATGGTCCGCAGGTTTTAGTCCTTGTTTCCATTTGCTAGGGTTCCATTTGGGGTGCCCATTTTGACCCACACCCTAAAACCCATCTAAACCAGTCCCGTCGAGTATGTCCGCCCTTGTCCTGAAGCAGGGCGCTCTCTGTGGCTTCCCATGACAGGCGGGACGACCTGGTCATGGCCGACACCTTGGACGCCTGGGCCGTGCCGAGGCTCGCACCCTCACTGCGGCAGCAGCGCCAGGAGAGAGGGACGGGCGGGGCGAAACCGGGTGGTCCAAGGTTGCATGGTTGTTGGGAAACATGTCGCCTTTTTGCTTATTGTGGTTTGGTGGTTGAAATCCCCACTTGACTGCGAACATTTGAGTCTTTGCGCCCCGTCCAACGTCAACCAAGGTTGGGGGCGGGGGTTGGGGGGGCAGCACCCCTCAAACAAAAGCCATCCGATCCGTCCACGCTCGAGTGGGGAACGCAAGACCAGCTGGCGGGCTCCACACAGCCGCAACCCATAGAGGTTTACCCCTGAAACCTGAGGGTCAGTCAGAGGATGTATCAGATTTCCACTTGGCTTGGGACCAAACCAAACACCTAAAGCAGCCAAAAGTCGAAGCAACGCCAAGAAACGCAGAGGGAAGCCCACCTCCAGGAACTAGGAACTCCCCACCAGCCCACCAGTGCTGGTAGTTGATTCTCCTGAGGAGTCGTTCCGCAAGCCCCGGAGCTTTGGTTTGGCGTCGGTGAAAGAGATCCTCGGCCCACGGTGCAAGTCCTGGGAGCGAAAGCTGTCACTCCCCAAAGTAACTTCTGTGGTCCTTCTGTGGGTTTGTGCATAATTGTTTGGGTGTGTCTTTTTTTAGGGACCCCTCCCCCCCAAATGGTGGTTTTCCTTGTGGTTTCCCTTTGCAGCCACCCAACAACGATACCCTCAAACAAGTACACACCCAATTGGCGGAAGTTCAGGAAGACCCTGCAAGACGTACATTTGCATATACACTGGCATGGAAGCATCCACGGACTGTATGAAATAGCGCATCGGCCGAAGCCTTCCAATCTCTCAAGGGGAGGAGTCAGATCGCTAGAGCTGCGACCCGCAAAAATGCGAGTCTTGAGTGCCTGGCTGCAGTTTACCACTGGGTTCTCTGACTGTGCTCCGGATTCTTGATGCAGCGTCAATGCTCAGTTATTCAAAGCCGACTTTTTGACCTTTTGGTTCTCCCATTTTGGTCCATACTTAGTCAAGACTTCAAAAGGTTATTCGTTTAGTTCCAGGTCCTTTGGGCAAGTGAGTTTGGTCAAGAAACACCCCAACAATGAGAGGCGTTTTGTGGAGGTGTGGGCGTCTTAGCGGGTGGGGACCATTTCTGCGGGTTGAAATCGAGCCCATTTTGTCGACACCCACTCATGTAGCCATGAATTCCACAGGGGAGCTACCTCAAAAGCAGTTGGTGAACATGAATCCCCAGCTGCATGTCCGGCAAATACACTTGCAATTTCCACCCTTTTCATCGAGCTTAGTAAGCCTGGTTATAACCCACTATTGGCAGACTTATAACCATGGCTTTTGTGGGTTGTAGCCATGATTATTTCCCACTTACCTGACGCATCCTGCCTCTTTAAGTAAAGACTTCCACAAATGCACCATTGAAATTCGGCCCTTTGTCATCATGGACCCCGAAGAAGGTCTTGTTAGGGGCTTATCCAGGGATAGCACCCCCTAGGGATCCGTGATTTCATGGAGCTGAGTTGGCTGTGGGTCACAACCAACGGTTCCATTTTGGGGTCGGTGAATTCACCACCCATTTTAGAACCCATTTTAGTGGTTGGATTGGGATATTCCCTGAGGATACGATTTGGATTTTGACCCATGGCCAGTTGGTAAGGACCTCCACCGACGACTTCCTACTGCGGGCCATCCTGGATGAGGCCCTGGAGCCGCCCCGGACGTTGCAGAGCACGCTGGGGCCGCAAGGCCTCGCGCCGGCGAGGGCTCCCACGCCCCAGAACTTCCAGGATGGGTTTAAGTTGAAGATGTTGAAGCATCGTTGTTGTTCTTTTCTTTTCTTTTTTGAGGGAAAACAAAATTGTTGTTTTTTTTTTGGGGGGGGGGAGGAAAGGCTGGGAAAGGGTTGAAGCAGTTGACCAAAGTGGTTGTGTTTTTTCTTTTCTTTTTCCCCACATCTTTGTGTGGGGTTCTTACTTTTTCCGCTCGTCGTCCGCGCGCCGCGTCTCCTCCTCCTCCTCCTCCCGCTCGTCTCCGTCTCACTCACTCACTCACTCTCACTCACTCAACTCACTCACTCACACTCACTCACTCACACTCACTCACACTCACACTCACTCACACTCACTCACTCACTCACTCACACTCACTCACACTCACTCACTCACACTCACTCACACTCACTCACTCACGCTCACTCACACTCACTCACTCACACTCACTCTCTCACACTCACTCACTCACTCACACTCACTCTCACTCACTCACTCACTCACTCACTCACTCGCTGACTCACGGCAGCTGTCTAGAGGGACAGGATGTTGTCGCGCGCGCGGCGGGGGGTGTGCGAAATCGTGGCAGGCGCAGCACTTTGGCGATGCCGTTGCGAAATCGTGGCAGGCGCAGCACTTTGGCGATGCCGTTGCCGAAGTCGTGGCAGGCGCAGCATTCTGTGCATCTGGGTGTGTGTTTGTGTGGCAGGGGTCGCATTCGGCAGCTGTCTAGAGGGACAGGATGTTGTCGCGCGCGCGGCGGGGGGCGTGCGAAATCGTGGCAGGCGCAGCACTTTGGCGATGCCGTTGCGAAATCGTGGCAGGCGCAGCACTTTGGCGATGCCGTTGCCGAAGTCGTGGCAGGCGCAGCATTCTGTGCATCTGGGTGTGTGTTTGTGTGGCAGGGGTCGCATTCGGCAGCTGTCTAGAGGGACAGGATGTTGTCGCGCGCGCGGCGGGGGGCGTGCGAAATCGTGGCAGGCGCAGCACTTTGGCGATGCCGTTGCGAAATCGTGGCAGGCGCAGCACTTTGGCGATGCCGTTGCCGAAGTCGTGGCAGGCGCAGCATTCTGTGCATCTGGGTGTGTGTTTGTGTGGCAGGGGTCGCATTCGGCAGCTGTCTAGAGGGACAGGATGTTGTCGCGCGCGCGGCGGGGGGCGTGCGAAATCGTGGCAGGCGCAGCACTTTGGCGATGCCGTTGCGAAATCGTGGCAGGCGCAGCACTTTGGCGATGCCGTTGCCGAAGTCGTGGCAGGCGCAGCATTCTGTGCATCTGGGTGTGTGTTTGTGTGGCAGGGGTCGCATTCGGCAGCTGTCTAGAGGGACAGGATGTTGTCGCGCGCGCGGCGGGGGGTGTGCGAAATCGTGGCAGGCGCAGCACTTTGGCGATGCCGTTGCGAAATCGTGGCAGGCGCAGCACTTTGGCGATGCCGTTGCCGAAGTCGTGGCAGGCGCAGCATTCTGTGCATCTGGGTGTGTGTTTGTGTGGCAGGGGTCGCATTCGGCAGCTGTCTAGAGGGACAGGATGTTGTCGCGCGCGCGGCGGGGGGCGTGCGAAATCGTGGCAGG